GTATGCGTTATGTATGCGCAGGGTTGGAAATGGTGTTCAATGGGCTCAATGAAGCTGCGAATGGTGCCAATGGAATTCTGAATGGAGACAATGTATTCTAGTTTTTTATGCTTCATTCGCATAATCATTGAGCTCCATTGAGCTCCATTGAGCTCCATTAGCTATATTGAATCCATTACCAACCCTGACTATACGTGCTGTGTTTGCTTATGTACCTTATGTATAAAAGCAAGTACTATGATATAAATAACATGTCACTAATCTCAACCTTATAAATAATTAAATTTCATAATTTTCTTTAATAAATTTCTTTGTAGCTTAAAGTTTTACGCGATGTTAATCCTCATCCTAACGTAATAAAATTTTATGGAATAACTCGCGGTTAGTATATTATTTGCATTTACTGTAAGCCAAACAATGTCTTGAGATCAAGATCGTCTTCAATAATCATGTGACAATATCATGTGACAATATAACCAATGATATTAAACATTTAATCAAACTACCTAATTTTTTATAACAGATCCTTCAGATGGGCATTATAAAATAATTTTACAATATGCGAATAGCGGGAATTTACGTGCTTATTTAAAAGAAACCTTTTCAAAGCTTGATTGGACCGATAAATTGAGAATTGCCAGCGAAATATCAAGCGGTCTTGCTTTTCAACATACTACAAAGATCATTCATTGAAATCTTGTAAGTATTTATTATATTATATGTTTGAATTTATGAATTTATTTTACATAAATCAAATTTTACGTAAATCAAATTTTACATAATTCAATTTTTACATAAATCATTTAGCACTCCAAAAACATTTTGGTCCATAAAGAAAGAATGTTAATTACTGATTTTGGTCTTTCAAAACGATTAAATGAAAATTCGACTCTCACAAGCACAAATTTCATTTGCGGAATGGCTGCCTATATTGACCCTCAATGCTTTAAAACTGAATCATATAGACTCGATATGAAATCTGATATCTACAGTTTAGGTATCATTTTATGGGAAATCTCTAGTGGAAAAATTCCTTATGAAAAAAAGGGTCTCTCTACCGTAGAAGCCCTTTTTTATTATGTATCTAAAGGAAATAGAGAAACTCCTGTAAAGGATACTCCGGCTCCTTATATTCAACTTTATGAAAGATGCTGGGATGAGGATCCAAATAAGCGCCCAGAAGCAAAATATGTCCTTAATTCTTTAATTGAACTTAGCCTAAGTTTTCCAAAAGCAAAAAAATCTGTCGTCAAAACTTTAACTCTACTTTTCCAGAATTTACGAAATACTCAACAAAATGGTCATGTTAACGTACTAGATTCTCCAACGCGACGTGAACGTCCAGTTAGTATTAGTGGAAGTTCTATACTTTCATCTCCAATCTCTTCTACATTTGTTGATGACGATGATGATGATGGTGCTGATTTATCTTTTAAAGATGCTGTTGAAAATACGCCAAGTTCTTCTGTTCCAAGCAATGAGAATAATCAACTTATTCCATTATCTCCAACTTCATCAAAGTCTCCATCAAAGTCTTCAACTTCTCATGATGATCAAACTAAAATTAATAGGAATAGTATACAACTTATAAATATTAATCTTTCTCATCTAAGTCAATATTTAGATGATAGCTTGGCTACTTTAAATACCTTTGAATCAAGTGGTTTAGGTATGGTATAATGGCTAACATTTTTTAATTTTATTTAATTTTTATTTAATTTTAAATTAATTTTATTTAAAAATTAAAATTACTAATTATTAAATTTTAAATTATTATTACTACTCTTATATTTATATATTTATTAGATTACCCATATAATACATCTGATCGTGTAAGTTAACTTTTCTTCCTATTAAATGTAAACTTTTTTTCATTAATCATATTAATATTAATATTATATATTAATATTATATATTAATTATATATTATTAATATTATTAATATTAGGAATCTACAAAATATACTGCAAAAGATGCCATTATATTTGCACGACGTGCAATAGTTCACATGTTAATGCGTAGATATAATGAAGCATTCAAAGATATAAATAAATCATTATCAATTAATCCCAATGATCCAATATCATTATGTCTTCGTGAAAGATTATGTCAATATCTGGGTAGATATGAAGAATCTCTCATTTATATAAATAGAGCATTGGATATAGAACCAAATAATGCTACTGCATTAGAATGTCGTGGTTCTTCTTATCGTGGTATGAAAAAATATGATGAATCGCTGGCTGATATAAATAAGGCATTAGAAATTAGACCAAATGATGCGATTACTTTAAGAAGTCGTGCATTAACTTATAGGTCAATGAATAGGCATAATGATGCTCTTTTTGATCTTAACAAATCTTTGAAACTTAAACCAAATGATGCTATCACGCTTGATGCTCGAGGATTAACTTATCGTTCCCTAAATAAATATAATGAAGCCCTTGCCGATATAAACAAAGCTCTAGAAATAAAACCAAATGATTCAATAATATTAAATAATCGTGGTTTATTATATTATGATTTACAACAATTTGATAAATCAATTTCGGATTATAATCAATCATTAGAACTGGTTTCTGATAATGCTACCACTTTAAGCAATCGTGGATTGGCTTATCGAAGTCTGAAAAAATACCAGGAAGCACTTGATGATATCAATAAAGCAATAGAACTTGATCCGGATTCTGCTGTTACGTTTTGTAATCGTGGATTACTTTTTTACGACATGCGTAGATACAATGATGCTATTGCGGATTTTAATAAATCATTAGAAATTAAACCAAATCGTATGATCACACTTGAATCTCGTGGTTTGGTTTATCGTACTTTAGGTAGATACGATGATGCTTTAGCTGATCTAAAAAGAGCTTTAGAACTAAAACCAAATGATGCTGCTATATTATGTAAACTCGGTCAATTATATTCTGATACTGGAAGTCATGAAAATGCTTTTTCTTGCTTTAAGAAAGCATTAGAAAATGATCCAAATAATGTGGTTATATTAGAATCTTTTGGATTGGCTTATCGTAAATTGCGTAGATTTGAAGAAGCACTTATTTATTTAAATAAAACAATAGAACTTAAACCTAATGATGCGGTTTCTTATAGTAATCGTGGATTATTATACTCTGATATGGGTAAAAATAATGAATCTATTGCTGATTTCAAAAAAATCATTAGAATTGGAACCAGATGATCCAACCACGTTAAGCAATCATGCATTAACTTATCGAAACATGAGAAAATTTGAAGATGCGCTTGCCGATATTGATAAATCGTTAAACATCAGACCAAATTCCGCTGTTACGATAAGTAATCGTGGTCTAGTTTTATATGATATGAACAAGTACGAAGAAGCTATTTTGGCCTTTAATAAATCCTTAGAAATAAATGAAAATGATACTATTACTTTAGAGTCTCGTGCATTAACTTATCGTACTCTGGTAGATTTGAAGATGCACTCGCTGATTTGAATAAGGCAATAAAAATTAAGCCAAATAATTCAATATTATTAAGTAAACGTAGTTTATTATATTCTGATATAGGAAGGCATGCTGAATCACTTATTGACTTAAAAAAGTCATTAGAAATTAATCCTGATAACGTTACTGCCCTTGAAGCTCGTGGATTAGCTTATCGTACTTTAAATAAATATGAAGAAGCACTTGCAGATTTAAATTTGGTAATTGAACTTATGCCAAATGATGCTGTTGCATATAATAATCGTGGATTATTATATTTCAATATGGGAAGATTCGAAGAGTCACTTTTAGATTATAATAAATCTTTAGAAATAGAGCCAAATAATCCAAATACTTTGAGTAATCGTGGATTAACTTTTCGTAGTTTGAATAAACTTGATGAAGCTCTCGCAGATTATAACAAATCTTTAGAAATGAGACCAAATGTAGCAGTTACATGGAATAACCGTGGATTGGTCTATTTTACAATATATAAATACGAGGAAGCTCTTTCTGATATTAACAAATCTTTAGAACTTGAACCAAATAATACTGTGTCATTGGAAACTCGAGGGACAATTTATATGATGATGTATAAATATGATGAAGCAATGAAAGATTATAACAGAATAATAGAATTAGGTGGCAATGCACCAACGTTTCAATAAATATTTTCTTTATGTAAATTCTGAAATTCAATTTAAATTTATATTTTTTTCTTTATCCTTCACACAATTCTGAAATTCATATAGACTTGATCACATAATAATATATTTTTGACTTTAGTTTTCTCAAATATATTTATCTATCTACATTGTATATATATATATTATTTGACAATAAATATATTAAGTTATTGCAAGACCATTTGAAAATTTCTTATTTGTTTTTTGTTAATTACAAATTATAAATTTATTGGTTGCATCTGGAGTAACAATTCATTTAAAATAGTTAACTTTTATCGTGATTTTCCTGTGATCAGTAAATTTCATGTATTACGCCGGTGTTACATCCGAATTACACCTCTTATAGTAATTCAAGGAACGTATTAGTTATAGTAAGAAGACTACAACTATGTGCTTTGGCTAGATAGGAGCGTCGGATGTACGACTTATGAAGAGGTTTTACTAGGCTTTATCGAAAGAGGCAACAACTAAATGTATATGAGGATACAAATAGTTGTAATAATTATAAGAGATAATAGTCAAGTATTTTAGAGTGTATATTACGTAAGCTTATGGACATCAATGTTCTCGAGAGTATGTAAGGTAATGTAAACTTTATTCAATAAGTAAATATCAATCGTGAAGTCCCTTCACGATAACCACGTGACCAAGATCGTTATGCCACCTAATGATATAAATTACTTTAACGTATATGAAGACACGATTATTTATTATAAAAGATAGGTGGAGAAATACAATATTAAATATAATATTATAACAAAAAGGGGAAGTTGAGCACACCTTTACTAAGGCAAAAGGTGAGGTCTTTTATACATGTTTTGTTGGGTTATGATATACAACCCTTTGACCTT